TGTCTAAGTTTAACCAACCCACGATATTGAGCGACCGTGCACGATTGTTTTCAATGAGTAACTGCCTCGCAACAGACACGGTTGAATTCCACTAGTCTTGAAGTTAAGCGTATGCAGTTATTTACAATTTTGCCTTTTTATTTAAGTCATGAATAAACGAAACGGTTCCCCTATTGTTGGCTCTTGGTTCGGTTTTCGCTTGTTGAAAAACTGTTACCAAGTTTATATACAGCTAACGGCTGTCTTTTGCACTATCGTATGTTATAATTATTCTTTATGTTACTATTACAGGAAGCCTTATTTATTTCAGAAAAAAAGATGCATGAAACGTCGCAGATACCTCATAGGTGGAGATTTGTAACTAATTTTTGTATATTATTAATTAAAAAACCGCTGATTTGGAGGAATCGTTGTTTTGCGAACCTCGATTTTGAGCGTATCTTAATTGGGTGATTCGGACGTTTCGATAGACTCAACAGTCTTCAACTTCGGTTTCAATTTATGACTCCATAGTGGTTGGCCCTATGTCAAGTACACATATGTTATTCTAGCTTCTGAACGAACCAGTTTATCCATTCTTCTCTAGCTTCATTCTGAACTTGTCACTTAGCCACCTTGACTGTTTTATGTTAGCGTATGTGTGTTCACTTCTTACTCATCACTTGTCTGTAACCTATTTTTGTCTGACTATAAATATCAATTCACGCCTGTCTAAATATAGTTGGCTCACTTATCTGCTCCGTTGCGCGTCATTTGGCTTCACTTCTCATTCCGATCAACGATTGTATAAAATATACGCATTTAAAATCCATTCTCGCATTTAGTCTAGTTCATTCTGTTATTCACTAATGCGATCTAAGTCGATAATTATGTACGAGTATCGGCAACATGTATATTTCAGTAACAATCATCCTACGATATAACTGAAATCAGATAATGGGTCAATAAAACTCCATAAACGAGAGTCGAATTCAGGAGGTTCGGTCTCGTGTGTGAATGCTTAGCATTTAGATCAACGAACAAACATTTAATGTTGTAAATGTCTAAATTCAACTAATTCGCAACATTGCGCGACCATCTTTCATTGTCTCTTGTGGCTGCCTTCCACATACTCGTCACGGATGAAATCCACTGGTCATTTTTGAAATATCTTCTCAAGGCTCGTCACATGAGTATTATCAGTTTTGAGTACGTGGGGATTGCTGGATGTTACGTAGATCATGGACGGGTCGAAGTTATACAACTATTGACATGACAATAATATTCATAACAATTGGTTGTATGTAATAAATATTCTTTCCTATTCAGAAACGGTTGTTAACAAATGTAAGGTTTATCAAAGCACGTTTCAGAAAACATGTCGTTGGGGCTCAGGAGTAAGTTCATTTTCAACTGATCGCCACTGGTATTTAAATTAGGAAAAGTATAAAAAATTTCCTGTGTGAAATTCGTGTATAAAATAACATTTTTTACTTCGCTGAATTAATTCTTTGTTTGTAAACGAAATATATCAACGTTTTTGTCCATATTGTGTTTTGATTTAATAATAGTTAGCCTAGAGAAATAAAGCGTCCCAGAATACAAGGCCGAAGAGAATACTATTAATTGTATTAGTCAAACTTAAGTTAACCTGAAAAACATTATTTACGTTTCGAGGAAGCCGCTTACTCCAGGCCGTTAAGCGCCGAAAACTCGAGTTTCTATTCATTTGTATGTGAATAATATATTGTTATACAATACATAAAATGTGTTGTTGTGCATTTACCTTGATGAGAATGAAAACGAGTGTTGACTGAAAAAATATCGAAAGACTCTCGTTTCTATGGGGCCAGCTAAATGCGTCTCAATGTGACATTACAGAATATCATAGTAAAATCTGAGAACAATACAGTAAACATTTCATTTACAAACTATCCACTGATTCTCTCAGAATTTATTGTCCCTTCATTTACATACCAATCACTCTGTTCTCGTTTTCTTCCTTTCCATCTTATTAAGATTCTGCTGTCAGGCTTTCATCGTTCGACCGTTGATACACACTACTTATACCAGTCCACATCAGTAGTACAGAAAACAGTATGTCTGAAGCTGCCTGTGAGTGAGAATATAATAAATATACATGTAGACATTCATCCAATGATTGATCGATTTTCTAAAATGAAATTCGACCAATCAAAATTGGATTATTGATTTCATCTTCTGTTTTTTGATTGGATGAATCAGTTGTCCTTGTTCCCTCTTTCAAGGGTATTGATCGATAGGAAGAAGGAAAATAATTCCATTGAATAAATAATGAAAAGTTAATTTAACGATTTATTTATTCATTTTCACAATTTGGAAACTTGTGATTAAATTAGATTCAGTAAGTTGAATAATGATTTGACCAATCTGTTCTGTAATTCGAATTGTTATTAGAATTATTCTATTGTGTTTAAGAGAATATCTCTGGGACTCTCCATTGTTTGTATGGAATATGACAGAGTATCATCATTTGAGATGTTGCCATACGTAAACTACTATAGAACTGTGATATTCATAGTTATGGATTACTTATAGACAATAAGATGTACTACAATAAAACATAATCACAATGATAGCTGAGCTAATCGAAGTGAATTACACGGAACAGTGTTGAAATCCTGATCCAGAATATTATAATCAACTGCTTGAATTACTAAAGTATTCAACTAGGGGGATAACTATGCGAAAGGATTATTGTGTAGTACATCGTAAAAGAAATTATCCGATAATTATATGACCTGAATTTCCAGTTTAAATGAAATAATCATTGAAACCAAGGAGCACTATACAACTGCTTTGTCTTGGAATATTACAGAACATTGGATATCCATAGCACTTATTGAGATTAAGCTTAGACAGTTTACAGAATTGTCCAATCAACGAAAGTCCGTTATATAAATTACAAACTGAACAATTTAACGTCAATATGCCAATCTCTTAAAATTTATTAGTACACTGCATGTGAATGTTCACTAGTTATGTAAGTATCTTTGATAGACCATGAGTGTATTTATCAACTTCTACAACACAACGTAATCAGAATCTGTGTATTAAGTGCCGCAGAGTGCTTCAATGAAGCTCCTCAGATTGATGCATGTTACCGATTTTACCAAGTACAGTTAAGCTAGTGTTGACAGTTGTTGATAAATGCACTCCTCCAAGTACGGATAAATATTCACAATAAACAGTTAACTACAATCGAGCGATACTACTACGCTGGTCCAATCATGTAGGTGGAACACGGTTCATTTTAATGATCTATTCACTGACTCCACCAGTTGACTTCTGCCTATCCGAAATGGAAGCCATAACTTTTAAATGTTTATGTTTAAAACACTACAATATTCACATATTCTAAATGTTGATCTGTTTTGTTTCTTTGTCTCCCAGGATTCCCATCAGACAAAAGTAACAGGGCAGTCAAAATACAAACCATGTCAACTTTGAGCCAACAACGTAAACTAGTTGAACAACTACGTCAAGAAGCAAATTTAAATCGTCGTCCTGTTTCTGAATGTGTGCAAGAAATGATTGTGTATATGGAGCAGAATCGAGAAAAAGATTGTCTAGTTTCAGGATTTGCAAGTAAGAAAGATAATCCATTCCAAGAAAAAGGCGGATGCGTTGTGATTTAGGCAACTTGTTAAATGGATGATAAAACAAACAATTTAGACTCAATGTTCAATTATCCTTATGCTCTTTACTTCTCTGCTTATTTAACGAACATTTGTTTTTCCTGAAAAACGTGGGGGAACTAGTTTAATGTTCAATTGAATTGATTTGGTATTTTAATTTTATTGTTTCGTTTCATCTTTGTGTACATGAACAAGCGCTCACAAGTAAATTTATTTAATTATGCTTTTATATGAATAATGGGGGTACTCTCATTTCGTCTATCTATTTCGTAATATCTTACTATTTCTGTTGTTTCTATCTCTTTGGATGTAGACACTTTAATCCAAATAAAAACCAAATAACAATGAACGTTTGATAACAGACGGATACTTCGAAAGCGAACTTGTCGTTGATTATATGTGTTCTTTTTACAATGACGTTGATAGACTAGTTTACTTAATTCAGCGAGGAACCCTAAGACGTTAGTCTATTCACCAGTGTTGCCAATCATTCTAATAGTGATATTAGTTTGCTGAGTAATTTTTGACAGGGATGTGTTCTACTGGTGACCTACCATGGTTCGCAAATTACCATGAGAGTCCAGAGCTAAATATTATTCTCTGAAAATGCAGGTGATATGATAGCACTATTCTTTTGACAACTCGAGAAGGGCTCGGATTAGGAGTGAAGGTTAAGTTATGAAGTTAGTAGCGATATTTAGGAATCGAGTACGGAATAATACTTGGTAGCCATGATGATAAATACATGTACAGTTAGTTGTATGATTTCATCTACTAGAAACCTTTAATTTGTCTTCACAACTCCACCTACTATCTTCCTGGTTTGTGAAAACCTTAAATGTATTTGTTTGTGTTCCCTTTTACATCGCAAATTAATCACTTTCTCATTGTCATTTTAAGAATCGTTCAAGTTAATTAATTAACTTAAAACGTCTTACTGACTAAGTAATGGTAGGTTCTACCTCTTTCTTACTTAGCTTTTCGTGTGAAATAAGCTGTCCACCATTGCACCTTGACTTTTGCTCAGAACTCCATAACACTCCAACTTAAATCTTGTCTGTTAATCAGAACTGTATAATTTTCGCTTATCTGTTTTCTTCTAACTTAAAATTTCTCTAAACTGGTGTCTATAACCCCTTAATGTCAGTAGATATTTGGGAAAGGCAGTTTGAATCTTACTGGTTTGAAGTATCATTTGATTCAGGATCATGTGCACATTTTATTAATGATAGCCAAGTGACATGAAAGTCTGGGTTAATGTAAGCATTGAAATGACTAGTTACAGCCACCTAACATCAAATAAGGTTTAATGATGATCGACCGAAATTTTCAGACAATGATATGATAAGAATGATGAATGCACATTTCTTTTCTTTAATAAGCTTGACTGAATCTACAGTAGGAATGAAAAACAGGAAAATCGGACTGTTGTATTGTTGAAAATCAGATAGATTAAATTTATTCGACCAAACAACAGTAGCGTTGTCAATGTTAAATTTGAAGATACAACAGATTACTAGTCATCATTCACTGGGTTTCATTTATTTCAAGCTGCGATTTTTCACTGGTGTTTTCTGTCTTAGCTTCAACAAACTATTTGAGTGGTTCATAGTTGAGTTTGTAGACGACTGTTGAATTGTTATCGACACAATACCATTATCGTACCATCTTGATGATGCTTCAGAACGACCATTTATCAAATGTGGTGTAGATGTTGAGCATTTTAAGAATGATGAACTAGAGATGTTGACAGATTTGGATCGCGTTTTACCACCACCCTATAATTTGTTAACATTATAGACAAGCAATCAGTGAAAATCTATTTCTGAGAAACGTTCATATTTTATGCTAGCGAAAACCTCGTCTTTGGCACTGATAACTTTAAATATGGTTTGTTTTATCTTAGAGGAAACTAATTGCCACTTGACACTTATTAATTCTAGGCAATTCCTCAGGACAGAGTGGATCGGTCAGTGAATCAGTCACGGTTGGCGTGTTGCGTGGAAGAAAGGTGGTTCGGCATAGGTTCTTATATCTTATCACGTTGGTATATCAACGATGAAATTAAAAATAATGAATAACAAACGAATCACAATAATAATAGTAATTAATCACAATAAAACAGAGAAAATATAGAGAACTCGCTTCGTAAAACGTAGTACGTTCGTAGAATAAGTACGAAATAATACCGAGACTCATAACCTAGAAAGTGACGTACTAATGATAAGACAGTACTGATACCTATGACACCTAACATCTCCAACCTGTTTAATAGAATAAATGTGGTGTTGCTAGCAGTGGAATCTAGGAGTCGTGCTCAATCTTATTGGGACTTTCCAGCTGCATGATTCTGACTACTGATCACAGTTGTTGCCTGAACTCCAGCGCTTACTAACATGACTCAGATCATCAGTCAGTAAATTTGTTTAATCGCCTCTAGATCGCTTCGGACCGATTTCCACGTCAGTCAGGAATTCATATCAAGGTATGTGGTGAATTTTGTACTTTGAACGTATACCATAGAAGCCTAAGCAGGTGAGATAACATAAATTCATCAATGAATTTTCAGTTTTTATCTAGTGGCCTGCATCTAACCTGATCATTCCTCACTGTGTTAGATGAAGTGGAAAGAAAGTATTTTATTATTCTGAATACTGAAATTCCAACAAACTAAGAGCATACCGGTTACACATGTAAAATATTCCTCATTAAAGATGGTTCTAATCACCTGGAGGCTACTGAAGAAGTTCAAATTCTTTGTAAATTCAAATATTAGACAAGAGTATCAGTTACATTGTAGGGTCCAGAATGTAAAAACTAACACCATTTCAAGTATACTTCAAGTGGTATTGATTTGTGACAACGAATCTTGTTCAATAAAGAGGATAAAGATTTGAACGTCAGTATTGATTAGTTTATCAAAGGATAATAATCACATTTTCAATTAGTTAGATCAACAGAAATAAGTGTTCACGTGATGGCATAGCCTGTTTGACTTCCACATTCTTCACACAGCTTCAAATGGATTTTAAAACACTTTCACAAGACTTTCACTATGTTTAAATGGACTTTTGACAGTGAATGAACCAAATGATGTACATATGAAAACGATTAAATCGTTTTGTAGCATATGTGTGTCCATCATCAAACTGACATATGGTAGTTTAATTTATTAATGAATTCAATGTGAAATAACTCTGATGAGTATTGGCATTGTGATCAGTGGGCATTATGCATTCAGTATTTATAATTTGTACTCTATGATAGCGTAATACATTGCTTCTTCCCAACCCTATGTATAACATATACTTGCAGTCATATCCTTGTCTGGATGCTGTATACAACTCTAATGATAATCAATGATATCGTAAAGATACCTAACTAGAACGTCTCAACCAGATTTATTCATCAGTATTATACAATATTATTTAAAGTTAAACTTTAGTTTCATGCTTTCGGTCCACGGTAAATAATTCCAAGGAGTTTCAGGCTAACATCACACAAACAATCAATATTTCCTGGCTGACATTAGTTTTTAGAGTTAGCATCAGACAACGACTTGAACTTTATGTAACACTAGTCAATCTTACTCATCAAGTATGACAGAATTGTTTTATGTGGGTTGATTTTCATTACGGATGATTGTTGATTGCAGTACCAATGTAAACTAGAAAGCACTAGGTAGTCATGTTGCCATGGTATGGAATTCCTCAACGGTCAGCACTTTGTGCAGTCGCCTAGCTTAATGTCGAATAGACTAAGACTAGGAGTGGGGATTATTGGATGGCGATTCAACAATGTAAAAGATAAGCGTTTGGCGAAAGATCTGATATCTTTCATTCGACCCCTAATTAAATGTTCGAAATCATCACAGAGTGTGTTAGTTTTAAATTCCTTCGAATTGAGCACACATTTCAGTTTACATATATTCCGAAAGAAACGGGAAGAAAATGCCACCCTGACAACTGTTGCTGGGTGATAAGCATTAAATCAATGGAAATATATGTAACTAGGGCAGAACAACACTAACTTAATGGGTTATTATTAAAACAACTAAGCATGCAACCGGTTTCACTGTTTTCTATCAGCAGAACATTTAACAAAATTGAGTGTATCCTGCTTGAGGAATTTATCGTCAGTTGGATGTACCTGAAGTCCATTATTAATAATGTTCAAGGTGAGACGTGAATTCATTGAGAACATCATCACCAGTGTACTCAGGTACATGCAGCTGTGACAACTTCCAAAAAAATCTAAACGTGGCCCCTTGTCAAAAAATATCGACAAAGACTTACAAATCATAGTCCCGAATGCACACAACGGGATGATATTAGTTCCTACAATTAGTTGCTATATATGTCTAATACTTTAAAATGCATTTTAGGCTACTTTTATTGATGAAATAAATTCACCTGGTACAATAAGTCATAATGAAACGTCCTATCTATTACATCTCAATTTTAACTAAACACAAGTTCGCGTAATCCATTTCGAGTCTTTAAATCGACGATGACTAGTGATACCATTCATCTGCGTAGTCAAAATAAGGAACCAATAAATGACTTTGGTCAAGTCAACAGTTGTTTAAAGGTTTACCATAGATATTTCTGTATACAATCACAGTTCTTTACAGATGACACGCGGAACCATCAATCAACCAAAAACTATAGCTGATGCAAAGACAAAACTAACTTTAATCCAGAAACCTACCTCTGAATATCTTTTCTTGTTCAAAAGACGTCGTTCTCGTCGCCTTCTACCTTCTGCAGACGTGCTACGCCTTCTTGTTTTGTGTACAGATGGTGGTTTCGCTCCGTTTTTTCCTTTCTGTTGTACTGGGACTTGTTTTTGTAGGTTTTGTTGGAAACTTTGACTGTTGTTACAGTCCGTACTGTTATTGCAGTTTGCTTGTGTGATCGATTTACTTTCGGAAAATTTTAAATGCTTCATCGAAGAATTCGACCTTTCTCCTCCTTCTTCTAGACTTTCTACTAGCTCTTTCACCTTGTTCTTTGCCTTCCTCAATAAAGACTTCTTGACACATTTCTGGTCGATTTCCTTTTGTTTAGAAAAGCCGTTAGTTGTCACTTCACTTAATTGACCAGTATCCTCACATGGATCTAGACTTTTAGAGCTGTTGGCAATATCCGTATACTCATTACACTGTATTGATGTATCTGGCCGCTTGTTTGTACTCTCTGACAATTTACTTGTATTAACGATGTCTTGACTGGGGCCATATTTCTTGACTTCAATTATTCTTTGAGATCCATGCTTCAAGCCGACTTGTCGCATTTGCTTAGGGTGGTCAAAGCGAATCACTGGAACAATGCTTAACTCGCGTACTTCACTTAAACGAATAAGGACATCACTGGGAGTGATAAGTAGTGGACCATGAACTGCCTCATGTTTTTGCTCTGATATATTCACTTGCTTACTGTTCTCACATGATGAGCTGGATTCACAAAACACGCACGTGTATAAACATGAAAGCTTTTTCTATATCAATACAACAATATTTATCCAAATAAAAGTTACCATGAGATCAAAACATTTTATTTGTCAAAATGAATGCGTAGTCAGTCAATGTGATGTCACTAAGTGAGGTTCTCACACATCCTACTATTTTGGTATATTCGGTTCGAAGCAGTACCTGGCTTATGGGGTGTATTGAATCATTTCAAACTACGGCAGTCCATAAATCAAAAAGGTTCTTAAAGCTGAATAGTCTGGCTGGCTAATGTATTAACACATTTGCATTGGATAGATGGAACAAGTGTGTACAAGCAATTCATCGTCTCCGCAATAAATATTGCACTCGAAGAATTTATCATAGAAGGTTGGTTGTATAAAGTTTAAAGTAGAGAAATGATATAACTTGAATTATCTGTACACATTTCTATGTAAAGCTAAATCAGTCAGCAGAATGATTTATTCAAAAAGAAGTGATGAAATCAACACAAATGGAGAATGGAAATTAACAAAACGAGAGCCAATGAAGGACAATTGGTTTGAAGTAAATTTCAAAAGGAATGATTGAAATTTCAGAATAAAAATCTTGGAATGATTCTTAACTCAAGTTTTATGTGCAGATCGTGGAGGTACGCAACTGCACTTCTACGAACAATTCTAGGCTAAGGAACTTCAAATTAACAACAACGAATTTCTTTAGGGTTAGATGTAGAGAATTTCCACCCCATTCTGTGACTTACATAAATAGTCATTAATCACATAGATTGATCAGTTTGTTCATCGACATTTGTCCAAATTACTCCTATTCCAGCCAACATCACATATCAAGGTAGGTGGAAGCTGTTATTGTGCAACATATGTTCTGGATCCCCTCAGTCAATGCTGAGGAATTTCGCCGGATATTCTGTAAGCGCTTTAAAGACAAAGATGTCCAATGAAGTGACCAAGTATTACGACTGATATTGAAAAGAGGCTCGAAAAAGGATTTCTGAGACTTTAGCAGTTACTATTTCTATAATCAATGCTCTTTGAATGATTTTCTTCTTGCTTATCGAACTCTCATATCTACATATCGAATAATTTATGGCACTACACACATGTACGATCTTCAAAAATGGTATGATAAAATGTTGAGAATAGTTGGTGGATATAGGAAATTCAAACAGCGCTTCCAAACTCATGAATAGAATACTACATTACCTGAATATTTTTTTCCAAGCATTTCAAGATCGTAAAAAATTCTATAAAAATATCGTCTGGAGAGTATAAGTTTCTTCTGTACATACCGTATAACATCCAGTATGGCCGAACATTTCTGCTGGAACTGATATAGATTTCATCATTTAGAAATTACAGTCAATTCGGTATCGTGAATGCGCACTGCTGAGGAGTCCCACACCAGGACAAAAAGGCCGTCCAGTGCTTTCAGGTTTTCCATGGTGATCTAGCTTCAATTAACTTATCACCTCACTTATTCAATTAATATAATATCCACAAAACCCCTTTCTGATAATTTACTGTAAACCAGATGTATCAAAAAGTGTCTAGTTATACATCGTAATGCCACTTATGCATATGTATCAGTTAGTCATATAAAACGTAGAGCCTGTCACAACTGTACATCGGTCCAAGTCACCACATCGCATTAGCAAACAGTAAAATGAAATCGTTAGGGCGAATTCCAGAGTAGTAGTGGTAGTAACAATATTGGTGATAGTACAAAAGATTAGGAAACGATGATAATTTGATTGGAAATCTTGGACTAGTCAAATAAAAAATTTATATGGTTGGTTTGGAACTTAGGATCTAACGTAAATACAATAGTCCGAGTAAGGTGTTTTACTGATTGGAGATTTGAACAATGTGGGAATTCGAACGGCCTACCAACTGTGTGAAGGAATACATAGTTGGTATATTGATGGGTCAGAACTCATCGGTCTCTGTTTTTGATATGAGTTTTGTTTCACAGTAACATCAAGTGAGAATCAGAACACGGATTCGGTCACACAGATGCAGTGAGTGAAAGTTTATATAAATGAAACAACAATTTACCAAAGTATCATACATCAAGACAGAATTAAAGATACTTGAAAAGCAAGCTTACTTCACTGAAGCATTGAACATCATTTGATTGTGTAAATAATCAGACAATAAATTTCCCCTTTTACCATATTGACTTTGAAGTTTGGATTCAGTGAGTGCAAGAATTTCCGCTGGTTCTAATGTTGAAATTGTCCGTTCATGTACTCTGAACGGGTCGAAACTAATCACATTGCGCATGATAAATGATTTCTGATCCTCAGATAAACTGACCAATTGACCCAAATGAACGAGTATACCATTTTTATGTGTTACAACTCGAATAAATGGACATGAATTCTTTTCTTGACTATCGTTCATTGAATTTTCTCTGTTTGAACTGAATATACTGGCAGCCATTTGTGAAATACTCACACATCGTGATGACAGTCCTGTATGACCTGAGATAAGTGACATATTTGTTGGATCTTCAGTCTGAGTAGCTTTATTCTCCTTGGGTAGTGATTGAATTGGTAATTTCAGAGTATTTAAAGCCAGGACCAGTTTAAGGATTTCTTGTGACAGATTCGTTCCAATTGGAAGAGAATTCAGTGACTGTTCATCCATCATAGTGATTTGGTGCTGTTGGTTTCTAGTATTATTCATGTTATTGATTGGTTTTTGGATAATCTGTGTCTCTTCAATGGGTGCTGTAGAGATTTCAATCATCTATCAGAAGAGAAAGAAGAGTTGTGCATATGTCAAATGAATTTAATTACGGGTTTTGACAAAGTAGATTAACAACAGTTTACAAGAAAATTGATTTCCTTGTGAGATTGGCCAACTATTCACTATAACTAAAATTATTCGTTAGCACAAGTCAGTTATGACAACTATGCTGGTACTAACGTGTGACCGTGCGAAATACTTCTGCAAGGCACAACTGCAATAATGAAGTGAATTTAGTATTGTTTGGGGTATTCCGACCGAGATTATCCAATGTCATAACCTTAGGGAAACTGCCAAGTATCTATTTAGGCCTAGATAGATCTATTTCCGATTAGAGTTACTCAAATATATTGATCGAAATTTATAAGTAAAGAAATGGTGTTGTATAGGTGGGGTAAATATATTTGTATCTATCGTAATAAGTCAGTTATACAATTTCGAATTCAAACTTTATTTAAATAGAGCTTATAAACTAAGTACCAAGATCGGATGCGTATTTAACATGAGGACAAAAGTATTGGGAATAAGTATTTGCGAAATTCTATTCGGAAAGTCAAGAATCTGAATAATTTGTACCCAGTTTTCGTTATTGATTGACCTGAAGTTGACTACCACCATAAATCAGAGAGCATTAGACAGTCATATCTAACTAGTTTACAATTCATGACCCCACCAGAGATCGAACCTGAATCCTCCAAGTCGTTCAGCGAACGTGAAGCTGTTAGTAAGCACTGCAAAGCAATACTCTGTTTTGAAGCCCTTGAATCATATCATCATGTCAATTCATGAATTCAATTAATGAATAAGATGATAACAGAATACAATCGTGAAAATAAGGAATTACTCACTTTGATTGTTCTAATTTTTGAGTAGAACAGATACACCGAAACACTAGAACACCAGAAGTTGTAGGATTTTCCTTATAAACACAAACTAAATGTCAATGTAATCATACAACTATGATGCAACAACTCATTGGATTGAGATTCATTTATAAGATTTGATCTTTGACCTCCCCCCCCACTTTTGATTTGAAGTAATCAATAATTTGATTGACAAAAATGCATCCAAGTAAATACCAATCAAGTGAATACAATTTACCCAATGTCAAATTGAATGGAATCAATCTGAATGGAATCAATCTGAATGGAGTAGTTATTTTGAGGGGAAAAAATCAACAATACAAGTTACTTTAATAGTTGAATACATGAGTCGATTTAAGAGATAGACCAGCATGGAAAACCTGGAAGCATTGGACGGCCGTTTCGTCCTAGTAGCAGAACTCAATAGGTATGACTTGAAGTTCTAGTGAGAGGCCGTGGCCAGTGGGATTCAACCGGATCTGTTGTGAGATAGTAGCTCACTGAAGACAATCATGGACGGTTGCGCAATTTCATGGATTGTTTGAAATGAGACATTAACAAAACGAGTTAGCATTGTTACCGCAAAATCAATGATAAACAGATACTTTAATTCGAATAATTTACTTAGAAAATTTCGTTGAAGTCATGAATCAACCGTCATTAGACAACATAGAACCACTGGAAGGCTGTTTCGTCCTTGTTTAGGACTCCTTGAAAGTGCGTTACGGAGACTTTGCTCTCAGGAACCTAACCAAGGACCTCCGGTTTCGCACGAGAACTCTCAATCTCTAGACCACTGAGCCGGAATCTAACTGCCTTAATGTCTGTCTTTAATTAATCCACGACGTCGTGTGACCATATTTCATTGTCTTTGTTAGCTGATTGCCTCACATCCAACCCGAATTCTATAAAAAATATTTTCCTAAGGTTAAATAAGTGTAGTTCTGTGTGTAAATCACGAACTAATTACTGGAGACCATCTCAAAGCATCATATCGCTTAAGTAGTCCTATGTAATCCACTGAGTATTCTACATATTTTAGTGTTAACAAGAAAGTGTCAAAAAGTTATCTGAAGTTGGATACAAGAACAAATGAATAATAAATGAGTGGAGTTTAATGACTTCACTATGGTGTATCCGACCTTCAGATTGATCGTGTGTACACTCTATTGAGTAGTAACACGCTGGGTATGAAACCGCTCTAAAGTACTCACTCAGTCATAAGATGTTTAGCTGAAGAAAGTTGGTAATGGTAAATATTTTCAGACAGAACTCATTGTAATTACTGATTCAAGAGGACCTGTTCGATAGTTGAATTTATGTTTGTATGTATTACTCGTTGTTCCGTCTCTTCCATTATTATTTAATCAGGTTCAAACTAGTTCGTTTTTTTAAAGTCATAGGCCAAACAAACTCACTTGTCAAAAACACTGGTTGTTTCATCCGAGTATCGGATCCCCTAGCAATGCGCTCTCAAGATACATTACAACGAAGGGGTCTGGGATATTTAGATATTCTGGAAATTAGAACAACTTTGAATCACTGAATCGCATTCTATTACTCACATAATACACAATCATCCGAATAAACGTCCTCTCATACCAACAGATGTATGTTCACTGCTGACCTATTTCCATAAGAATACCAGAGGCATTTTGGTAAGAGATTGTCGCAAGTGAAACTAGCTATTGCTTATGTGGATGAACGATGGTTATTCTGTCTATTTCACTGACCGAAAATTATCAAGATGAAGCATAGTACATCAAAAGGTTATAATAGAGCTACACGAAATAAACGTTTTGAGTTCGATCTAATGTTCTATCACTGTGATACAATTTTGAATAGCACCGAACGTAGACGAAAATACTGTACGATGCTTCTTAATTATCAGTTATTTGTAATTGTCATTTCAAAAAACAACAACACTGTTTTCCGATACATACACTAGTGGTTTAGTAGAAATGGATAATTGTTGGTAGTGTAATCCAAGATGCGAGTGAAATACAGTTTGGGACTCGTTAGTTGGATATACCTCCATCTTAGTGTTATTGTTCGTGTTGGGACTCGAACTTATCAATTTTTGTTTTAACAGCTTGGTCCATTATATCCAGAGGGTTTAAAGCTAATACTAATGGTTTTGAATTCCAGTGTGGGAATCAACACTAGAATGGAGGTACATGAACTAGAGTTCATCCTAATTCTGCACTAATATATCCGGTAGACATTTCGGATTCGAGTACCAATATAAATACTGAATAAATGGTGATCAAGCGGTTTCGAATTTAGTGTGATCCATATAAACATATTAGTCGATTTATGAATGAGGTAGTCAGAGACAGTTAGTGGGAAGTCCTCTGTGAGATGGGTTTTAAGATATTTGAAAATAATCACTAGAAAATGCCTGGTACGACTGGCAGTCCTCATGAGGTTGAAACCTACTTCATTCACTATCACAGAGAAACACGTTTACATTCAAATATTTGAAAATTCACTAGTTTACTGATGCGGAGTTAACATTGAAAACTAGACAAACATAGCGTTGACTGCTGCTTAGTGTACTCACTTGATAAATCCATATCTCAAGGATCCCACTAAACAGAGTGACCATAAATTTTTAAACAATCATTTTGGATTAGTCTGTCATTGACTTTTGTAATAATTACTGATAAGAATTCAAAATGAACCCTTTTTTAAGTGCTGAAAACTTACGTTAAGCATCCGGTAGAATAGAAGAATAAACTGTGAGATCATTTACGTAATACAAAATATTGATCAAGAGAACAAATGAAGAATTCATCTAAATTAATTGACTATTAAGATTAATTACATAAGTATTAGAAACAAAATGTAAATTGGATTCTCATCAAGGTTCATTTGACTGAACTTAAGTTTATCAAAGTAATAATGAAGATCATACATAAAGTTTCTGCTGTCTGTATATGACAGTGTTTTCCCTTTTAAACAACAATATTCACATAATTACTTTATCAGCCACTTCCAAATTCAGAAAGATACCGACTTCTATGAACATTCACTGTTCGATTTCAATGCATAATATTCAGAGATGTGTTGTTTGCTTCTCATGTATGTCGATATAAGTAGTATGTAACACTAGTCGGAAGTGAAATGTTTACGAACCGAAGGTTGAGAGGATTGAATTGAAGAGAAGACCGAAGAAAACCGAAAGCAATCAAGATAAAAATAAGAGTGAAGGAAAAATGATGCCTGTAAGAGACGATTCATAGAAGATGTGCAAATGATGTATTTTGCATTAAACAATGAATCGGATTGTTTGTAATGGAAAATAAAATGAACTTTGTTATGAGGATGACTAAAATGAAGTGTTGACTTTACAGTAATGAAACGTGTTATCAGCAATCTGTCTATATCCATCAGACTAGGAATACTTTAGAAGAAGAAGTATGTTCGACGGGTCGTTTGACCAACTTCTGGATTAATTGGTGAATGATCATTAAGTGTGATACGGTGACATAATTCGATTAATGCTCGTACAACCCTCTATGGATGATTCATTTGGATAAGATAATTGTCGAAACTGAAGAGCATTTATTGAAAAGCATATACTTTATTCATATATCTGTATTCTAGGTAATGAAGACTGAATGTATTACACTTTCATATAAGAGTTTAATGTATGTTGATTATTCACTAAGTAGTATCTGATATCATATTGCTCTAGACCTTAATGATGTTAATAGAATTATATTGATCAAATGACATTATCTACCCAACGATCAAATTATCATAATAATGAATATTCGTTGTCTCATATTTCAAACGCTTTAGAATCATCAGTATAGGGTTGCGGAAATCGTCGAATTTTTAATTGAGATCACGAATCAATGAATGTTAAACAATCACTGAAAACCTGAAACCTCTAAACTCTCATTTCATCATATTATAAAACTCCTTAGCAGTGTACATCCACGACCTCTCACGTAGGACTCGGACTTAAGATCTTCGGTTCCACACAAATATGCTTAACCCCTGGACCAATCAATTGAATTTGTCGGTGTTAATTAGATTCAAAAGTTGACAAAATACATTCCAGTCTGATTGCTTTGTTCTTCCTTTCAACCTACTCCTACACCGATCATCAATCCCCATAACCATAATTAAAACAAAACAAAAAACCCAATCCATTTGAATATATCAATGTGTATTGGTGATTATTTTTTGTTTTTAAACACAGTTTCATGTAAAAAGAGAGACGATTTTTGTCTTAAATGTAGATGATCCATGTGGATAAACACTTTGAGATTATAAATCATTGTGGTTAGTTTAATTCACTTTGGCTGGTGGAATTTCGTCAAGATTATTCCAGTTTGTATTCAGTATTGACGTGAACTGTTCATTCTACGATTGGAAATATAGAAATATAAAGGTATAAGAATATTAATTATTATCAGAATGAGGATTTGTGAAGATTGTAGTAATTTTAATAGTTGAATTCATGAATCAATCTAAGCGAAACCACCATTGAAGCATTGGACGGCCCTTTTGTTCTAGTATTAGATTCCTCAGCAGTGCGAATCAACGATCCCTTATGGGAGACTTCAACATAGAACCTTCCTTATCAAGCTTGACCTCTTGATCATTGAGTCGGCCTACAACACTGTTGATGTATAACTTTCGTCAATACATGACATTGCGCAACTCTTCTTCCATAGTATGAGGTGGATAACTGTCTCCACATGACACGAATTGAACTCCAATGGTCTTGGCTTCTTACTAGAACTCTATGAAATCCATCTTCAAGCTAGTCACTAGTGCGCAACAACATGCATTCAAGTATTAAAATATTAATTATGTAAAATAATATTAATCAGCTTTAAAATTCATAAATAAAATATTGAAATGATGAAATGTAGTCAACTGGAAGCATTTCATGGTTTCGTGTTCATTAACACTCGTTAGAAAGATGAATCTCTAGTCTTAAGGAATCTTAAGGGATTCGAAGCCATGCTATTCATTATTAAAACTGAAATGTTAAACCGAGCTATTCAGTCACAGTTTATCATGGAATATATCATTCTGATGGTTCAAGAGCTTACGTCATGACATAACTGTACACATGGAATGTTTTAGTCTTTCAGGAGATTAGTTGTATTCTAAAACGCTCAGTATTAACATCACTTACTTCATGACGAAGTGATGAGACACGTAAGATTTTAAGCAATAGAGAACGATCGATTGTTTCAGAATTGTGATTACACTTTGGTGATGAGTTCCAACATAATTAGTGTCTAGAGTTTCTGGCAATCGACTTCAACTGTATAACGTCGAAATGAATCTTACGTTAGACATACATAATGACTGTTATAATTAACAGACATGTGATCACAAGTTACAATAATTTGGAACTAATTTGCCTATGAATAGTTACTCAATTTAATACTAAACTGTTGATAACTCCTATTTCTTTCTATTTTGAGACAGTTTTATTATATATCTAAATTACAAGCAAAAGTAATTTTATTAATAACAGACTTCACTACAGTAGAGTGGCTAATTCTTAGGATTTCATTGTCCAGACTTTGGTCTTATCATGCTTCATCATCAAAAAAAGGAGAATCTTGAACATTTACTACTCTAACCAATTCAGTCCAACTAGCTCGCCACATGAGATAACAATGATCACTTCATCAGACTACCTACTGCCATTGGGTCACTTGATTTCCTATACTTGTGATGATCTGAAATGTTATAGCATGAACTTATACGTATTTATGGTGGGATCGAATCCTGGACCCACAGCTTACACTATGACTTCAGCTTTGTTGATCAAGTGAGTCAATCGTCTGATTGCATGTGCAATATGAAATTGTTAGTGTACTGCTATCCACAACCAGTTATGTTTTGATTTCATAAAAGTATTTGAAGTGACGATTAAGTACCGTGATAGACGTTTGAAAAACGTTCACAGGGAGAATATGCGTAACTCATTTGTAAGAACTATTTACACTAAGCGTCAGTTCAATCAGAATACAAGAAAACGCACATAAATCAGTAAAAACTACTTACCGTTAACTGACCAACTTTTAAATGTTCCCCATCAGATATTGTCACTCCAGCCACTAAATCAACCATATCAATGGTATTTGGTAAATTGATACATGCATTCTTAATTTTCTGTAGACGTATTAAATCAGGTGTAACTGTGGCACCAGTTAAATCTAAACTACGATTTCTTGTTCTCACTTTATTTGAAGACTATATTTAGAAAAAATTCATGAATAAGTTAGTGTAATCAATTGAGTAAGTTAAAAACTAACGACAAAATGAAAAACCTTCAAGCATTCACACACTCTGCATTTCTTATCTAACAAACTGGTTCCTGAGTTATAATCAATAAAGTAGAACAGTGACCCGAATAGCTTACTGGTAGCATCTCACATCTTGAAACTGATTGACACAAGTTTGGATCCCATACGAGGTATTAGTTCCATGAAGCATGAAATTACCCTTTCCATACTAACAAGTGATAGCTTACATGAAGTTCAACACCATCGGTTCTCAGGCGACTACCTCCGACCATTTAACATGCCGTTATTATTGTTATTTCAATTCCTTTCATTTATATCTTGTCAGTTTACTCTTAATGTGTTTATCATTGAGCCGTGACAAAACATTCATAATTATGTCGGATCCTAGTTTCATCATCACTGATTGACTAAACCAAGACATGAAGTATCTGTAGATTAAATACACACAACCAATATAAGCTAAATTTGTATTAGTTAAACGTAAGTTTACTTCTTTCCAGAATTAGTGGGTCGTTAGAAATGCAGGAGAACATGATTGATTGGTGAAAAGATTTCAGTCGAATATTAAGTCGATTACTGTTCAACCAGATCAATACCAATTTCCTTAACTATCATATCGGTCAACATTAATACAAGTCACATTTGGAGAACCAAGTTTCACCAGTTCATATTCACCTTACTGATAACATTGTTTTATATTTCCATGTTCGAATTAAAATGAACTGAAGAGAAGACAAAGTGGAATAATGTTAATGTCACCGTTCAGAGAAAACTCTAAATGAATGGCACATTTGACAGAAATTAATGTGATCAAAGATCGAGAACTATAGGATAAAACCCGACTTGTGATTCAGATGAAATCAAGAAATAATTACGACTGCTCCATTACCGATCGTCTGGAGTCAGATCACTCAATGCTTATGACCAAATATCACTTTACTAGAAGCAACAATCATCAACATCATAAATTATCATGATTTCTCGGCTTCATCATTCCAACTATTATCCAGATTTGTGTGAATCATAACTCAGACATCTCAATTATCACAGGTCTATATTTTCACCAACCATGTAACTATTCCTACATAGAATCTGACTGTGAATCTTATGATTGCTCACATGATATTTCTACCACATCGAAGTATTGTTACAGAGAAGTCTGCTATCAAACGTTCACAACTGAAACTGATATTTCACCTTCATAAGCCAATTTTTTGTAAAAGAAGAAGAAGCTATATAGAGTCCAAACATTTCTTCATCCTTCAGGATATCAATTGTTTACCAGTTAGTTTAACGTTTACATATCTGGTTGTTATGTATTCATGTCCAACTATCGGGACTGTCTTTCTCAAGAGTATAGGCTGGTGTTATTGACTAGTCCCAGTTAGCATAAAGCCTTTGAGGTCAAATCGATCACCACCAATAATAATTCTATTAGAACACAATATCGGATAGAAAGAAAATACATACACAAAAGACAAGACTTACATTCGATATGGACGATCTGGCTGTTCTTAATTTACTATTCATTTTTATGCCAAACTGATTGTTAGTTGTACTGTTACAGTATGACTCTGATACGAAACGCCATTGAATTGGAATTTTATTTCCCAAAATATTATTATCACTTCCATTTGAATGTGAATCAGTCGTGAATGATTCATCTTGCCTCTTATTGGCTGGATATAATTTAGGTACACTGAGTAGATTTCCTTCATCGTCGAAAACTAGTTTTCCAGATCCATTTATTCGTTTGTTTTGTAGCTAAATATAATTTTATAAATGCTCCGAATCAGCCTTAGACAGTATTTTACTAGTTCTGTTTAACTACTATCAAATAAAAAGTAGTTTGCGCTTTTATCTTAAAATTATGAATGATTGCATTCTTCGTCTCTTACAACTGGACTGAACTGAAATATCAAAGTTAGTTTTCTTTAACGTGTAATCTGATGTAACATATCCAAAATTTGCTGGGACTACGAGACAGAACGAATGATGATAAGACATGGCCAATACAATGTTCGAAATGGTGAAATTAAATGTTCACATTTTAATCCACGTAGAAAAGAAAGACAAGACCGACCAAAGTTAGACAGCCATTGTGAACCTGGAATCACTAGGCAATCGGTTTTCTTTAGTGTGAGCCTTATCATCAACGGTTATCTATGACCCATAAAAAGGAGTCCAGTCAGAAATCGAACAAAGCTTTCCGTTGTCTGCCATCACACATCTAACAATAAACAAAGCTGACAGGATATTTTAGTATATACACTCAACAATGACCATAATTACCATAGTTTCAGGCAGTGGTTTGATGAGTGGCTTCATTGGTTTCTTTCTAGTTAGACTATATTCTTTACTGGTATTGTCGTTTTTAACTGATATATTCTTTTGAAGAAATTGAAAAAAAACATTAGAAAATTATCTCACTTCCATTGATACATTTTCTATAGATGATTTAAATGTAGAATCTTTCAACTGTTTAGTTAGTTGAGGGATGGAATCTCCTTGATCGGCAAGCATACGGGTGTGATCTATAATTGAAAAGAAAGTTTATTAAATGCCAATATCATTAAAAAGCGAAATAACCATATGATTTATTTTGTTGCTTTATTACATTTAGAATATGGCTAGAAGCGATGTTACGAACATGAGTTTCATTCTATTTGAAACTTGTCAATTGGATATGCCTGCATCACATTGTTGATATTTACAGTGGGAGTAGAACCTCGTATTAGAACCCGGTTATTAATACAAAGTCATTTTCCATCAACCTACCAAGGGCATATAGCCAGTAACTTCTTTAAAAGGCATGAAGTCATTAGACAAGGTTTGTGATTCCCGGTTGTTGATATCCAGGACTCGAATTGATATGCCCCAGATGCCATGTGTGCACCCCGAGTAGATTGCCTTGATATAACATTCACTGATAAGGACGATATGTGAATCCTTGATTTCACCTCTATCTGTATGCCAGGTATAATGACTATCTAGTCAAGATGCAAATGTGCCAACATAAACTGGTCGACTAGAGATCTCAGTAGTGTCAACGAAAAATTATACTGACAAGTGACTCATTTTACGATGGTAGATTATGCTACTGCAAATAACAACATTAAGAATGTGCTTATATAAATCATTGAATTAAAACCGTGTTATGTTACAGATCAACAGAAACTCAAGGTGAATGCCTTAAAGCTATCATGGTAGTTGTGAAGTGCAATAGTACTGAATGCAATCTTTAGCATGGTCATTGGTGCTCATATCCTCAAGCTCGGATAATACATCTTGATTCTGAACGGTTCTCAATTCACTTATTAACAACAATCATCCCAAAAACGTTAATGCTCTTCACAATAAATTAGACTCAATAACAATGTATGTATATTGAAACTAAAGACTTTATCAATACTATCTGACACAAATAAACGAAAGTATATCACATCTTGCCATAAGAATGAACAAGGAGAACTGTAAATTTTGAACTTTTAAAGAATGTTATTGTTTTAAGAATATGTAATGAGTATTCCAAGTAAGAAAGTAGAACTTTTAATTATCAGCATCTTCCAGCTTTCAGTACTAGTGTACAGTTTTCATTGAAACAAGCAATACTGAGCCACACATTTTCGTTTAAAATGGACTTAAATAACCAGTGACCTGATAACAGGTAAATTTGCTTCATTTTGATACTATTTGAAAAAGATGTTTATCAGTCCACCTTGTTTTCCAATGAATATTTTCAAATTTAAGTAACCTGAATAACTAGGGATTCAGTGGTGTGTTAACCGTTCAATAAATACTGACTAAGTGTAAAATAAATTTTGAAAGCTCCAATGAAGTGATGCAACAGATAGGACAAAGTATTTAATCATAACACCAGTGATCTCTGATTTTCAGCGACTGTTTTGTTTAAGGAATTTGTTTACCTTTTTTAAAATCGTTTTTCAGTTTTTGAGGCTTCTTCTGTCGTATAGATATTTGGTGGAGATTTTCACTATGGGACATGCCAACAGTATGTTCCTTACGGATAGCTTTATTTTCACCAACATCTTCATTTCTGAAATAATAAAATAAAGTATATAAATGGAAACGTTTTTAACCTTGAGTTCGTTTGTTTAAATTATACAAATGATTCTTTTTGAGCATTAAAAGATCTAACGAACCTGGGATCATTTCCATATGACATTACAAATTCAACAGTATTAAGAAGTTCGAAGTAGTAACAAGGTATTTATCTGGCTTCAGGTCTCAACAGTATTATTAAAATCACTAATATTTTGCAACAAATGAAAGTAAGGGATCACTGGTTACTCTTTGACTTTGCTCTTCATCCAGAGATAGATACTTTAAAGTCGTGCTACTTTAGCCGAATAATCTGTCAATGTTTTGATAACATTATGCATGTTCATATATATTCTCACATGACTCTCTTTTGAAATCTATTCGTTTCGAACTTTCAGTTTAGGCCTAAAATTCTATGTATAATTCACTTATTCACTCACTTTATCATTCTATCTAATCGACTGATTTGTTAAAGAAAAAATTAAACATGATGAATAATAGGATCAGTCAGTTAGCTTGCGACAACGTAGAAATTTTTACGTACGTACGCTTCCACAACTGTATAGTTTAACTGTAAGACTGCATTACTGTCGTGGGTAACATCATTAGCGTCATCCTCAACTCGACAATATTGGTATTTTCGTCTTTAAGGACGATCTGACTAGTCTTCTAAGTGAACTCCTGAATCAGCTGAGCTCTTCTAATAACACCAGGCAAAACCTACACGACAACTTCAACATGATAGAAAAAGTGTGATGTAGCAAGAAGGTTTTGATCCAAGGCTATTTTATGTGAAAAACTCGAGAGTACTTGTAGTATGTCAGATGGCATAAATGCATGTTACGTTTCTGTACACCTACTAACTGACTCATAATCACATGCCAACACTTCCATTTTATTCCCATCTTTACGATATGCACGTATTTTTTTATATAAGCATAACACTTTCGTATAATATACTCACCCCTCACGTGACACTGTACTTTATCGGATATAGTACTTTTTCGCTGCGTATTGATAACGTTAACCATACATCATTTCAGTGATATTTTGAAATCGAACGTTTAATTAAAAAATGTGCTGTTTTCTACAAGGATCTATATAGTGTCGGTTGCTATGTAAAGCCTATATAGCTCTAGAAAAGCTACTTTATTATTCTTTCTTAAGTCATATTGTGACCATGCGTGTGTGTATTTCTTAGCTTATTCATAACATGTTTCTGTCTTGTTTTTATCTGACTATAAATACTGGTAAAATCGAGTTGGTATACTCGCCTACTTCATTGCACGTCATTTTGTTTTGCCTCGCTATCCGATCAACAACCCTACCATAGGATCCCAGCTCAGTGATCTAGAGGTTAAGCGCTCGCGTGCGATAGTGATAGGTCTTCAGTTAAAATCTCACGTGCATGGCCGTGAATGCGCACTGCTGAGGATTCCCGTGTAAGGACGGAACAGCCGTGCAGTGCATCCAGGTTTACCATGGTGGTCTAGCTTTAAATCACTCACGAGTTCAACTATCGTACTATGCGTATTCAAAACTTCATTCTCATATATCACTTATTTAATTCCGTTACACACTAACGCAAGTAGGTAGATGATAACATACGAGAACAGTCAGAATATATATTTCGAGTATTCATTCGTTAACGATCATTTGTCCGATCTAACTGAAGTCAGATAAAGGGCCACCAAAAGTAGCATTATGTTCATGACAAAAAATACGTTCGTCAAATGAAACACAGAAGCACCTACTTGTGGATAAGACTATTTTGAAGCCTTTGTAAAGCCTGATGATTATTTTTGGGTTGTAGATTGTCTGAAATCTTTGCATAAGAAGTCTTGGAAATCGCTCCTTGAGCCCAAGAATCTATTCTACTTGATTCCGCAACTAACAAACATAGTCCGGTTATAAAAACCAGTACGTACGTTCATCTTCGAACCACTCCGGATTAAGATTAATAAAAGGCTCTCCTTGATCGCAGGACATGAACTCCAACTACGCATTTTAATATACAAAATTGTATGGCGGTATTTACGTCAATGTATTGCATGAGGCACAAAGATGCTTGATGAACTGCAAATGGTATTAATTGATCCTTTAAATATATCTGGAATATAGCACTGAGTGTTTCATCAACTATATCTTTTGCGATATCATAGCATGTTTTTTCTGCTAAATCATCTTCAATCAACTCATTCCTGAACAGATAACGAATAATTTCATGCTAACCATTCTGATTCTGAAGCTTTTCCAGGGATCACGTCTTGAACTATGAAAGATGAATTGATGTTCTTTCCCTTTTCTACCTTGTTTCGACTTGTGGATTTCGACATGCAATTTGAATTTTCATCATTCTGTTTATATGGTGCTTATTACAAGATTGTAAATTAAAACACATCCACTATAAAATAACTTGAAAGGCTGTCTGCTATCGACTGATTGATTTATTTGAAGTCATTTCTTGTTAATTCAGTACGTTTTACGTCTTTATCAAAGTGCAGTGGAAGGTAGTTTAACCACTCAACTGCATTAATTCTACACATTTTTGTAGTTATTCGTGAGTTTGTTTATTTTGAAATTTGAGCGAATACGTTTTTATCAAAGCATTGTGGTTTCTGGAACCAGCAATCATTAAATTATCGGGTGCAAAGTGAGTTAGTGTCAGCCTGAAATAAAATACTAGGAGCTGACGATTATTACTGTGATTGACTAAATAAATTAGTTATTTAATTGTGATCCAGGCCGTGTGAGCAAGCCGAATCGTGAGAAAAAATTCAAAACGGTGTAAAAATTAGATAAATAGGAATGAGTTACTGACTTGTGTTAACTATTGTAATGTGTAAGTTACAAGACATGTATCGAGCACAGCCATTCCAAGCGGTTAAAGGTAAACGATGAATCAGTATGTAATTGTCAAGTCGCTTCTTAAGGCAATCCACTGGGGAAGCTGTAATAATCTCAACTGGGAGAGCATTCTGAATGGGAGGGACTGCAAATGAGAAATAAGTGTGAGAATACCTCGATTTTCGCCCTATGATGTAAACTTTTTTGGTTCTTAGCTTATGCGTTGTTGTGTTGATGTTCTATTAAAACGTTGATGACTTGAAGTGTATGACATTCGTATGTCATTATTAAATAATCTTTTATTCTCTTGTAGCTTGGCGAAAATGACACCAAATATCGACATCTGTCTCCGTAGGTTTGATTTATTGATCCTAACATTCACTTAATCACTCATATTGGAACTGAATATAAGAGACTGATATCTCTTTTGTACAGATTGGTTTCATTAACGTTTGGGAGATCGAGATGAGACTGTTATTACGTTTTGTATACTATAAGAACAAATTTTGATGTGACTGTGCCAAGTTGTTTTCGCATAAAGTGAATAGGTATATCTAATTTGGCTGCATCACCAATCTAGTTTAAACCAGTTTACCAGGCCTCTGCGAATTCTAGTCTTAAAAGACGCTCTGAGGAAATATTTGTGAATGAATTTTCGAAGATAACGTAGATCGTTTATTTTTAATTGAGTTGACGAAATTCTGGTAGATGTCCCAATACATAGTCTACTGCACGTTTCCTTATTGCTTTGATGTCTTTTTAAGAACTAAATAAGTCATTTTTGCTTCTGATGAAACTTTACCTTTCGGAATCGAAGGTCAGTGAGCTCATTCCGGCCAGAAGGTTGTTAGTGCGAATCAGTGAGACGGATGGGATTTAAATGGTTCCTTATATGTCTGCTGATGTTGAGACATTCCAGCTCGCGAGGACTCTAGGAATATCCCATTCAATGCAGAATACTAGTTCAATAGTTGTAAGTGGAAGAAGTACGACTTTTTTATCAGATTTGCAGATAATCGATAACTCTGGAAATAAAACCATGTGCAACGTATGAAAATGGAAGCGCGGAATAAAACCAGCACTAACAAATCACTTTCGCCATTATCGACATTTTGTGGTACCGAAATACTTCCAGACGACATTCTGTGGGATCGCAATGAAGTCACCGGGGGACAAGGAGTCCCAACTTCTTACTATATAAAGAAAGTTATTATAGCTTCAACACTTCGATCTCCGCACCCTTGAATGCAACGTTCACCTGTATCTGAGAAATTATGGTTTCTCAAATTACAGGACTGAGTACGATAAAACATTTAGGATCATCACTACAAAATTGAAAATTCTTGCTATTGCGAACAACATATATCAAGAAATGATTCACTGACGTAATTAAATTGAAGGATACTAAAAGTTTATAAGAGTCAGTAAGTTGTGCATAGCAAAACACAATTCGCACAGAAATAATATAGGTATGGCATCAATAAAATTCCGCCTGTAGCTCTTCTGCGGTTATTGCACGACTAAAACCCGTGCAAAGATGGAGCGTTGGGTATGGTGTCGGCATCTCCATCCCATAGACAACATTTTTGCTAAGCTAGCGTTAACCGCAGTAAATAAATTCGATCATTCAAACTCTGTCCAGTGAATTTAAGAACAATTGTAACGACCAAAATGCCAATGTTCTTTTTGAACGTAGGAGTGACGAACCAAAATTTATTCGATTTGATCACACGGAAGTGAGTAGATACAACTTCGCGGTTTTAGTAATCAGAGAAACCAATTAGACACCGGCTGAACGGAAAAGAATGGATTCAGGAGAGCTGCTGATGCACCCCTGTTCCGAGAAAGAAAATGCTCCACACACGATGAGTTGATTCGGTGCTGTTCAAGGAGTCAGGAAAAACTCTTATAGGATGGGAATCTAATGGGAACAGAATCATCAAACCATTCTTCAAAACAAATAATGAATGAATTGTAGTGAATGTTATGTTTTGTAGTCACCGATAATAGCAGTGGCGACAATAAGGATCAATTCTACGAGAGTTCAAAATTCTAAGGAATAGACCTGATCATCTTGTTGGGGAACCTGAACGTCAAAGTCGAAACGAACAATACCTGATCTGGAAATATCGCAAGACGACATGAACTAGTAGAAGCAAGCGAGAATGTTGATATATTTGCAAATCTATATACATTCAACTAAATGTTTATAGGCGGCACGATATTCCCACACAAACACACACACAAAGCTACATGAGTCTCATCGGACCACGCCACAGAGAACCAGATAAATCACATTTGCATCAGTAAAAGGTTCGCGAGGTCGATGAAAGACGTGAAAACCAAAAAGGAGTCTGACAAAGCTTCAGATCAACACCTGATAGTTGCCAAGTTTATATATTTTAGTGAGCTAGGAAAAGTGAGCATTAATGAAAATCTGAGCTGGACGAAAAATTTTCAGCTGGTGAGTTGATCACGTAAATGTTTTAGTAGTCAGATAATGGATTAGTGAACGACTCATTATTGCTTAATTTCCAAGCGCTTTATCTAAATATAACAGCCGGGAAATTTCTAGAAAAACAGTAAACAAAATTGTCTAGAAATAAAAGCACTCGACGATGCGAAGGCAACCAAAAAGAAAACAGAATCAGTGTGAAAATCAGTACGAAGGTAAATCCATGAGGAATTATTTTTAATTAGATCAAAGCACGACATTCAGAACTTATTGGGAAATATACAAGAACTCAATCACCTGAAGACTTATGCCGATAGTCACCAGAGCGTGTAGACTGTTAGCATAGGTTGGGTAGACACATGTTTCTACTTTTGAGAAAAGCGGAAATTTTCGAACATCCAGAGGATCGACATCAACATTTAAGCAACTAACCAGATCAACTGTTAAATTTTTAATACCACCGTCGTATTTTGTCACAAGATTGTTGATTATTCCTCAATACAATGAATGTCTGAAGTTGGACCAGTACGTCACTATACCCCGTCTCAGTGGTCCACATGTTAAGTGTTAGATCTCAAGGTTGCAGGCCTTGGATTTGATTACTGGGTCCAAAGTCTTGAATATGCTCATCCGATAAGCTGCATATTATTAAGGAACAGCTGTCTAGTACTTCAAAAATTTTAGTGATTGTCAAAATTTAAATGACTCATGAAGTAATTTAAATTTAACAATCCCCACAACCTCATGTTGAAATGGTAAAAAGCTTAGCTCCTCGTGGTTTTTATCGATTGTGGAGAAATGGAGTTTGACCTAAGCGTCATGTAGTATACGTAAGACGACAAACATCTCAGAAAATATTTAGCCTATCCCGAAAGCTATAAATTTTCTGCGAGCGTTCATTTACTGAGAAAAAATAGGCTTTCGAATAAAAAATAGTTATGTTCGTTCCTACATACAGAGGAACAGTAACATTCTCTAATACATCGACGAAAATTTATGTTTGCTATCGTGCAGATAATAATAATAATAATAATTTATTCTCAAATAACAGTTTGTTACATGAGGCATGCCAGTTTACAGGCAAGATCAAATCGATACAAATGATAAAATATACAGTGTAATAAATTACATAGCTGGGTTGATAATTTATAAGATATGAATGTAGATGGTTTGAATCAGTACCACAGTTGGCGCGCTTCATGGAAGTTGCGTTGCGAATGTGCGACTGATGGTCAAGGATAGGTCCATTGAAGGTATTAGCTTCTAGAAATCGCAACCTTATGTCCCTTAGGGATATCCAAGGCTTTAAGGATGGTGCAGGATGAAGTCACCAGTTCTATATCTCAAGGGGGCTGAAAGAGGGAGCAAGTAAAAGAAAACACCTGAGGCAGAGTAGCCAATATTCATGAAGGAATGTTTAAGGTATGATTACTCAGTCTAATTTTCTTTTATTAAGATATTTGTTAAGAAAGAGCGTTTTAATAGGTAAAAGAAAATAAGTGTTAACAAGGTGTCAGCGGACATACAACTGACAAATGGAGGCAATTCGGAAAGGAACTGAGAGTATAGGATTATGTGTGATTATAAAATAAAATATAGTGCTAGAAACAGTATTGTGATATACATTTGGCTGTTTTCCCTTTAATATCGAAGCTATTAGAGCCCCTTTCGTTTTTTAAAATATTTTTCCCCCAGTTATTATAGGGTCTTGATTAGGCTTCGTATACTAGCGAATTGTCTAGTTTGCTTGTAATAGGATTTCTGGGTAGGAAGTGAAACCAATTCAACGTTCGTAACACGACTTAAAGAGGTATTTTGCGTGAATAGATCAGCTTCAACACCATAAGTTCGTGGCATCCCACTAAACCATAAGGAGCCGTAATTAAACAAAATGTTCTGCCCTAAAGATATTGTTAATCTCATGATATGTGACCACAGACTCATTTTAATATACTCAATAACTCTACACTACTAAAAACTGCAGCATTCCAAACTCATACATACTTAATTTTTGGCTTTCCTGTATATGCCTGTTCACTTGTTTGTGTCCCATTCATTGT